CAGAACAAGAAGAGGGAGAAGCTGGGCTGCAACGAGGTCACAATAAAGGTTTCAGCTGATGCCCAGGGAGATCTGAGGCTAGGATGGCCCCAAGCTGAGGCAAAGGGCCCACAAGTCACTGGATGAAAGCTGCCCCAGGAAGAGGGTGGGACCTGGAGCCTTCTTCAGCCAAGGCAATTCCCAGCTGCTGAGGGGAAAAGTGCTCAGGTTCCCAAGGGGTTGCACAGGACAACAGCCCCCATCATCAATTTAATCAACAGGGAGGGAAAAAAATGACTGGATCCAAACATGTGCACTTCTAAACAGATGGTCCAAAATAAAGAAAAATACTGACATATTACTGTATTATCAAACCACCAGTTGGTGTTTATGAGTAGAAATTCAGAATGGCATTAATCATAGCTGAGATTCCAGCAACAAAGATTTCAAAATTATATTAAAAAGTATAAAATGCTACTCATGTGCAAAACAAAACGAAAAATACATAAATTCTAAACGGAACCACCTGCTTGTTATTTGCTGTTTACATTTTTTTACTTTGGAAGTATTTTCCAATCAAATAATACATTTGTAAACAGAATCAGTAACACGGCACCATTTCAAGATACTATGGGAAATATAGGGCAGAGGTTCTCTCTGTACCTGCTAACTTTGAAGATGGGAAGCATAGCCAGTTTAGAAGCAAATGCATGTCACTCTAATTCATCTGGCTGAAGGATGCAGAAGCACTGATGGTGAACATTCAAAATTGTTGTACTAGAGTAACTCAGCATTTCCCAAGGGGTGCTTCACAGAATACTATTCCAGAAGATACTGATAAATGGTTTACATGCACATGCACATGCCCATACAGGCCAGATTCCATAATCAATAAGTTGGGGAAAACTGGGTTATAGCTAACAAGTTTCTTTATTGCAGGACTTCTCAGAGCCTTCGTTTTTCACTAATTTAGTGTACAGCATTCCCAAACTTATTTTTTTCTTGGACCCATGTTCCACAGAACACATATTGTGAAATGCTATTCTAACGTAATTTTTATTATAAATATGCTTCTGAAATGTGAATTCACTTTTAATGCCCTATTTTCCATTGAAAGCTGATTAAGTATGTGGCACTGTGTGCTCAGGCTCCTAACATTTTCTAGAGCTGCGGGGGACAAACTAGGCTCACTGGTAACCATCAAGTTTCTATGGTTGAGCTCTTTTCTAGGTCAAACACACACACACACACACACACACACACACACACACACACTCTCTCTCTCTTTCTCATACACATAAATGGTCACGTAAGAGGGCAAAGCAAATATTTAAAACTAATCTGACCACAGCTCTAGAAGCCCTGATGTGAGCCAAAGGGGGTCTGGGACACACCTGGATGTTGTAGCAAGCTCGCTGATGAATGTGCTTCTGTGGCTGGACGTCACTCTCCACCCCCAGAGACCTGACCTCTGTCCTTGAGGCACAGGTGTCGAGCACTCCAAACTGAACAGTAGCAAATGGATACCAATCAGAGGGAATTTCTTGGTCTGATCCAAGTTCTAGTTTGTATGACAAACAATGGGGATGATCAGGACCTTGAAGAAAAAATCAAACTGTCAAAGCATTTCAATGGCCATTGAACATTTCTCTTGAATGTAAGAGGCACTCATTCCTCTCTTTAATAAGCAATCCCATTAGCACTCTGGCAGTGAGTTCCATTTGAGCAAAATACCATCAGAATTCACAATTCTGCACTAACTAGGGGGAAATCTGTGATTTTTAAGTTCTAACTTTAAAATAAATATAACTTCGTTACTATATACATGCATATATTAGCCCCTAAAAATGTTTTCAGTTAGAAGTATGCTAAGTTTCTTTAATTAAAAGATTGGTAATAGTTTATTAAGTATCATTATTTGGCTACAAAGCATAGGATCTGTTAAAAAACAACAACTTTCAAGTAGACTGAATAAGCTTTTACAATAATTCTTAATTTATTCACTTTTTACTACTCTTTAATTGATAGTTAATGCAAAGGTAAACTTCAGCCTCAATTAGGCCACATTACAAACAAAATCTTAATTTTTAAAGTTAAACTTATTGAAATTTTACTACATTTCAGAAAATATCCTAGGCCAAGAATTCCTCTTTTGATAGAACAGATTATATTTTAGTACATTAATTTCCATTCACCTTTCTTAAAGCTTTGATGAAAACAGATGTACAAATGTAGAGATGGGCATGTTGGCTTTCAATGTTTCAATCTACTATTTGTTTTAACTTAGTTCACTGTGTCATTTATTGAGCATTTACTCTATGCCAGGCCAGGCTCTGTGCCAGACTTAGGGATATCAGATAAATGCAAAAACCTTAAGTGTGGTCATGTAACATACGTGTGCACGTGTGTGTGTTATAATGGACTAAAAAATATTTTCATTGTAATCACTGCAGTAACTCCTTAAATGCTCCACGCTTCTATTGCATTGTCCCCAGCATCTACATACCCGATGCAGCTAGCTCTACTTAAATACATGTATGAGGTGACAGTAATTTCAAAGCCAGATTAAATTGTAGCGCTGATATTGCTTCAGAAAGAACGTTTCCATCGGAACATAGCTTTAGGCACAAAAATAAGAGTTTAAAGGATCTCACTTAATTCTTAAAAGATAAATTACCTTTCATTCCTTACAATCTGTTTCTTGTAGAGAGACTAATAGAATTCTAAGGCTGTAAAAGGCCTCGAGAAGTCATCGATCAATTAACCAACAGAGGCTCATTAGCCATCTCCACCGCTTACACCAGGGTAGGACCACAGTGGCCTCTGAGGTGCTCTAAGCTACCCAGATCCCTGCAGGCAGGCGATAACTTTATTCACACACACCCAGGGGACAGTCCACAGTCCATTACCGTTTCTAGTCTTTTGCCTGCAGTGAGGATACAGGAAGTTCATTTAAACTTAATTTGGGAACTCTCATGTCCTTTATGACACACAGCGGTTAAGAACACAAACACTGGACCCAGATTGCCCAGGGTCCAGTCCCAGCTCTGCTACTTAATAGCTGTGTAATCCTAGGCAAGTTACTTGCTCTCTCTGAGCCTCAGTGTCCCCATCTGAAAATGGGGGTGATGATGATGATGATAATAACAACATAAACCCGACAGGACTGCTGTGAGGGTTCAACAAAGCAGTGGGCAGACCTAGAGCCCTAGGGCCGCGGTCTGCCACAGTGGTGAAGATAGAAGTGGGGGATGTATGATTACAAAGTACTATTCGATTATAAATCCAATGTTATTATTTAATTACTATAATTTTGCTAATGAAGTGATGTGAATTCTACATTTTTAGAGCTGAAAATTATATTGGAGGTTATCTAATTTGACACAGCGGTGCCTCAGTTTGCGAATGTGCTCCGTTCCGGAGGCCGTCCGAGCTCTGAAACGCTGGCGAACCGAGGGGCCGCAGCCCGCAGCTCGGCCTCCGGGTCCACTTCCGAGGCCCGTTCGAACCCGAAGCCTTACGTCCAGGTCTACGGCGTTCGCAAACCGAGACATTCGAAAACCAAGGTACCACTGCATTCACATTTTAAAGGAAAACATAATTCTTTGGGAATCTTCTACAACCAAAATTATGCAAGTTGTAGACCTAGAACTACAAAAAATGTTAGAAACAAAACCTTTCTACTTGCTTTTCTAAAAAACTGGTAGACGGTAAAGGAGAGTCCTGTTCCTTTAAGCTTTCTGGCATATTTTCCTTGGCTCTTAAAAACTCTAAATACTCTACAATGTTTAATAACATAATTTCCCTTTAGACTTTGATCTCCACGAGGAGAGGTATCATGTCGCTTTGTAGGACAATGTCTGGCACGTGTGGGGCTCATTGGATATTTGACGAATTTACAAATAAATGAATAAAAGGGGGGAAACCGTGTTATTTAATCTCAGTACTGACCAGCAGGGGGCAATCTTGAGCTTTGCTAATTGTTATTCTCTCACCATAACTTTCTCAGGACAGAGAATGCAAATCACATCTACTTAGGTCATCTGGTCCCTCTTGAACAAAAATATTTCACATCTGAAACAGAACTGAAGGGTATGAATGGAAGGAGAATGACATAAGCAGGGGAGAAAGCAACGATGTGCTGGTGACAGAGCCAAGAGAAAAAGTAACGGCAAATTGTCTTAAAAAGTGGTAAAACTGGGAAGGCAGAGAGAGATATCTGTTAATTGACACTCCACCACTCCCATTTCCCCTTCTAATTCTATGCCACCATCTGTCCCTCCTTTGGCTCCCCAATGTCCTTATTCATTAGCTCTCTTCTTTTCCTCTTCTTCCTTTCTCTCCCCCCTTCTCCTTCCCACCCCCCACCGAAGCCTGTCCTCAGGAAAGACTCCTCTGTTCCTTTGCTGTCATTCACACCTTAGTCTGAATGAACTATCTGAGCTACCTGCCCATGACCAACTTCTGTTGTAAAATGAAAAGCCTGCCCACTGTTTAACGAATAGGAGGCACTGACATGCTAGTAGAAGAGACATTTAAGGACCCAGCAGCCCACCCTACCTCCCCTGAAATCCCATGTCAGTGAAAAAGAAGTCAATCCTGGTCTCGAAATTCCACAGGAGGAAAGGCATAAATTCTTTTCTAATTAGCACCTATTAGACTAGTTCTTATATTCTCTTTCATTTTCTATTTTTAAATATTTTTTCTAACAGTGGTTTTTCAGAAATTAGCTTGGAATGGGTAATGTTTCAAAGACTTTTAAAAAAATCTGCTGTTGCCCGGACGGGCGTGGCTCAGCGGTTGAGCGTCAACCTAGGATCCAGGTGATTGGGTTTGATTCCCGGTCAGGGCACATGCCCGGGTTGCAGGCTCGATCCCCAGTCGGGGGCATGCAGGAGGCAGCCCATCAGTGACTCTCTCATCATTGATGTTTCTCTCTCTCTCACTCTCCTTTCCTCTCTCTGAAATCAATAAAGATATATTTTAAAAATAAATAAAAATTAAAAAATCTGCTGTTCTCTAAACACCCAACTGATTTAAAAATCATATAGAAAAATAGAGATGCATTCTAAGGCCCTGTTATTCTACATGTGGTCTGTGGGCCAGTAGCACTGGTATCACCTGAGAACATGCGGGAAACGCAGTTATTGGGCCCTACATGTTGAATCACAATCTACATTTTAACAAGATGATTCATGCCCACACAAAAGTTTGGGAGGCACAGCCTAAAACAAAGATGTCCTCTCCACCCAACCTCACTGCTTCTATGCTTCTCTCCAGAGGCAAGTTGCCAGGCACCCTCTCACTCTTTCCATTCCCTCCCCCACAACGGAGAAGCCACAAGACAGGACCACAGGATCCCACCTGCCTCAGAGCCACGCCCTGCCCCCCCAGACTCCACCTGACAGTTCACTTGCCTTTTCCCTGGGCCTCCTCCTGGTACAAAGACCTGGTCTGAACAAAGCATCTTTGATCCTAAAGGATTTGTTCAGTAAATTATCATTGGAATGCTCGTAAAATGATGTTCTGTGTGGGCCTGGTGCTATGAAAGTCTGCAAAAAGAATTCCCGAAGGCCAAGATCAAGTCAGCCACCTTTCTGGGAACACCCACTCTTGCAGTTGTTCTTAGTGAGCTCAACTGCTAGTAAATACAGGTATGAGGGTAATAACAGAGCTCTAGGGACACAGGAATACGCAGCGCAGGGGGGGAAGATCTCTGCCTACAGGACCATAATGGGTTCCCCAAAGGAGGTCCTAGCTTAGTGGTTCCCAACCTTGGTCGCCTGGGAGAGCCTTTATCAGCACCCTTACCTGGGCCTCCACCTGCCAGGGAGTCATGGTTGGGATGGGGCCTAAAGACGAGTATGATGCTTTCAAAGTTTTAATAAGGCAGCCAGGACTGGGAAACAGACAGATTTTAAAAAGAAGAGTGACGACAGGATCCCAGGCTATCTCAGCTAATGGCACCACTGCCCACCTAGCCCCAAAGCCAGAGGCCCCGACCTCCTCCCATCCACTCCCTTTCCCCCAGGCCCACGGGCAATCTGTCATTGTCTTGGGAGCACCTCTTCTGAATTTCCTCACCCATCCCTCGCCTTCCCAGTGAAAGGGACGGAGCAAAACCTAAGGAAGGAGAGGTACTGGCTAAGAAAATGAAAATGTTCAGGTAACTCATGGATGACAGATCTTTAAAGGTTAATCTGTGAATCTAATGTCAAGAAGTCAACTACAAATTTTCCCTCAGTGCCACCATCTACAATTAAATCCTAGCCTAGGATGATATTTATGTTTAAAAAAAAAAAAAAATTAAGTTAAACTTATCTGGTAGACAAGAGGCACAAAGGGATGAAGTAAGCCAGCTGTTTAACTAAATGTTCCATCTCCCCCCCAGCAATGTATAAGCATGTCCTCAGCTGACTAAAGCTACCAGCTGTCTCCGCCTGCTTTCAGTCCAAGGAGGGTGAACACATCGAAGCTATTTCACATGAAAATCAACTTGGGGTGTCGAATATTTACTTGAATGTTTATCGGGAAGCCGGTCTATCTTCCACACCACGGCCCGGTAGGCACTCTCGTATTTTGCTGACCCCACAGTGACCTGTATGACAGGTTCAGATTCAGGTTCATGCAAACTCCCCAGACATGCCGGACGGTTCATTTTGGCTTTCAGGGACTTCTGCCTCTGGAGGTTCATGGTCCAGAGAGCCTTGATCCACTGCGATGGAACGGGAAAGTGTATCATTATGTTATCACAGGACCTCAGGGAACTGGCATGGGAGGATCTCTGAAGCAACGGGGCCATGTTGACAAAGGCCTGAAGCTCCACATACGCCCCCTGGACAACCACTACAGACTTCAGGGAAAAGGGAAGATCTTCCCCATTATATAAAGTCTTGAAACGCATCAGCTCAAACCGGCAGGCATCCAGAGGTACAAACTTAATGATTCTTGATCGCTCAAATTCTTGTGCTTTCACACACTTGTGAAAATGATATTCGAGAATATCAATCCCCTTCTTTTCTGGGTCTGTTTCAAAATAGTGTTCATTTCGCTTCTGCAGCTCAAGATCATTCAATGTTAAGAAGCATTCCGAGTTCCCATTCACAAAACAGAGGCAACAGATTTGAGTTATCACGGCACTTTCAACCAATTTTCCTTCTTCTTTAGTGATTTTGCCCCAAAAGTTGTCCACAATTTCAAGGGAAATTTCTTGTTCCTCATAATTCTTTTTTGGTTTTGAAACAGCTGGCAGCTTCATCAGCTCCTCCTCCACGGTAGTCAGAAAGTCAAGGAAGTCATGGTACTCTGTGGACCCCAACTTTAGCATCTGTTCTATGTCTGGCTCATGAACCACTTCTGTCTTAGAATGGTATTTTCTTTTTTCAGTGTAAGACACGTGTTCAATCTTCACAGTATGGATTTTTCCTGCCACACTGAAGTTCTCAAGTTTGGGTTCAGAAAGCCTGCATTGTGGATCAAGCTGTAACTCTTTAAATGGTTTTTCTAACCCCTTCTCATAATACATTTGCAAAATTCCTCCAGGTAAGACTTTTAAAAAAATTGGTCCCCACTGACGAGAAGACATCATGTTCTTCTTCTCAGGGATTCTCAGCATGAAAGACCATCCAGATTTGGGCTGACTCCTGAAGAGCGTGTGGGGGACAAAGGAAGAGGCTGTGTCTTCAGCATACAGACATTGCATAGACAGGCTTCCAAATGAGTCTTGGTTCTCAGCTGATTGGAGGTGTTCAAGCTTCTTACAGATGTAGTTGAGTGAACACTGATTTAAGCTTTTTTGATCAATTGGCATTTCTTTGTCTCTTGATGGGAACCCCTTTCTGCTTCCCAGGGGATCGAAGGTGAACTGGGAAGCACTACCTTCTTCTTTCCAAAATGGACTTGAAAAGGCACAGTCCTCCCGAAAATACTGAAACTGGAGAGCATCACTTTGGAACCCCAGGCTTTCAGCCTGTGGAGGACTACCTTCATCTGGAAGACCCACTTTGGGAGCTGGAGGTGTACATGGGTGGTCACTGGGTAAGGAAGCATGGGATAGGCAGGTTGGCTTAGGAGGCAATAAGGAAGAATCTGCTTCAGGTGCTGCGAGTGGACTGTTTGAAGATAATTCTGGAATAGGATAAAGCACATGAGTCCCTGATTTGGGGATGCCAGGAATTCCTGGGAAGTCTTTGGTAGGTGTAGAAAGAGGAGAGTTACTTGGAGGTCCTGGACTGAAGTAAAAGTCTATGATGGGAGAGGGGAGAGGGGTACTACTGGTGGAGGAAGACCCACTGGGAAATTCCTTAGGACCAGAAAGGTTCAGCGTAAGTCCGTTTGGCCTACAGATGCCTTGATTCTCCAGAGGGAAATTCTTTGACTTTGGAGAAGACTGAAATGCAGGGTCGTCATCAAATGTGACCCAGTTGCCTGGGTTCGTAGAGCACATCTTTGAAATCAGATTTGATCTTGTCAATGAGTCAGATGTGTTGTCTCTGTTAAAGGAGAAAAAGGAAATAAGAATATAAAAAGAGGGGAAAAATTCAAGTTACTAGAGGTCTTCAGTTCTGAGAAATACTTGGATTTAAAAGCACCCAGATTTACAGATTAACTGAGTTCAAGAAATGCTTAAAAACTGTAACACTTTTAGATGGCTGAATGGATTTAAAAATATAAGATCTAACCATATGCTGTGACAAGAGACTCGTTTTAGATTTAAGGACATGCATAGGCTGAAAGTGAAAGGATGAAAAAAGGTATGCTATGCAAAAGAAAATCAAAAGAGAGCAGGGGTAGCCATACTAATATCAGACAAAATAACTTTAAGTCAAAAGCTGTCACAAGAGACAAAGAAGGACATTATGTAATGATAAAAGAGTCAACTCACCAGAAGGATATAATGATTACAAGTAATACATAAACTCAACACCAGTGCACCCAAATGTATAAAGCAAACATAAAAAAACTAAATGGAGAAATAGACAGGAACACAGTAATAGCAGATTTCAATACCCCACTTTCAATAATGGATAGTACATGCAGACAGAAGATCAATAAGGAAACAGAGGACTAGAACAGCACTATAGATCAAGTGGACCTACCCGACATACACAGAACAGTCCATGTAAAACATACATTCTTCTCACGCACACACAGAACATTCTCTAGGACAGATCACAGGTTAGGCCACAAAACAAGTCTGAACAAATTTAAGATTGAAATCATACCAGGTATCTTTTCTATCACAATAGAAAAAAAGGAAGGTCAATAGCAGAAGGAAAACTGGAAAATTCACAAATATGTAGAAATTAAACAATACAAAATGGGTCAGAGAAGAAATAAAAAACAAAATTAGAAAATATCTTGAGACAAACAAAAATTAAAACACAACATACCAAAACTTATGGGATGCAGCAAAAGTGGTACTAAGAAGGGAGTTTATGGTGGTAAATACCTACATTAAAAAAATCAAAAATAAACAACCTAGCTTTACAGCTCAAAGAGCTAATAATAATAGTAATAAACAATAAATAAACAAAACTAAGCCCTAAGTTAGCAGGAAGAATAAAGATTAGAGAAGAAATAAATGATATAGGCCATAGAAAATAGAAAAAAAAATCAATAAAACTAAGAGTTGAATTTTTGCAAAAAATTGACAAACTTTTAGCTGGACTGAGGGAAAATACATAAATAAAATCATAAAGAAAAGAAAAGACATTACAACTGATATTAGAGAAATTTTTTAAAAAATCATTATAAGAGACTACATGAACAATTATATGCCAACAAATTGATTAACCCAGCATAAATGGATACATTCCTAGAAACATAACATCTACCAAGACCCAATCATAAACAAATAGAAAATCTGAAAGGACCTATACCATAATTAGTAAGGAGACTGAACTGATAGTCAAAACCTTTAGAAACATTTTCAAACTCACAGTCTCACTTATCAGAATGGCCCTGAGGGGTGTACATCATTCAACGCAGAGGTTACTTGGGTTTAGAGTCATTGCCTAACGTCACCCAACTAGTTAAAAGGCAGAACTAAGATTTTTTTTAAAATAACAGCTTTATTGACATACAATTCACATACATAAAATTCACCCTTTTTTTAAAAAAAAAAAATTCAGTGGTATTTAGTACATTCACAGAGTCATGCAACTATCACAACTATCTAATTCCAGAACATCTTTATCACCTCCCAAATAAACCCTATACCTATAAGCAGTCATTCCCCGTTTTCTCCCTCTCCCAAGCCCTGGAAATCACTAATCTACTTTATTTTTCTGAATTTGCCTAGTCTGGACATTTCATATAAACAGAATCTCCAAAACATATGGCTTTTTGTGTCTGGCTTCTTGCAATTAGTATAATGTTTTCAAAGCTCAACTGTGTTGTATCACGTATCAATCAGTACTTCATTCCTTCTTGTGGGTGACTAATATTTCATCGTGAGGATATCCCATATTTTGTTCATTGGTTGATGGACATTTGATTTGTTTCTATTTTTTGGCTATTATAATACTGCCATGAACAAGCTTTTTGTGTAATCCTTTCTCTCGGGTGTATACCTAGGCTTGGAAAGAACCCAAATTTGAACACAGGTCACTTCATTCAAATCTAATACAACATAAATTATTGAAATTACCCTAATGACATCAGAGGCGATCAGCTGCATGGAACACAGCACTAACCTGGGGACTGGGTATAACCTGAACGCTGGACATTGCTCTGCCACTCACTCCAACATTCAGTGACTCGACTAGAATCATCTCTGAGTTTCTTTCCAATTCTAAAACTCTAAGGTAGCTGATGTCAGCTGAATTTATTTTTCAAAAGAGAAACTGTATTACCACTGGGATTTTTGAACAAAGTTCAAAACTGACAAAAAAGTAAAATTCCGTAAGATCTACTGGTGTAAAAGCTCAAACCTGCTGGAGTCGAGGCCATGAGAAAGGCCTATTTTTCTCCCTCCAGCCGCCTGCTTGCCTCCCCCTGTGGATAATGAAGGTTCAACCAATGCAATCATTCAAGCTTGGGAAAGAGCCAGCACCGAGGGGAGAGGGGGCCTGGTGCTCCGCTGGGGACAGGGCCCGCTCGGTGTTGTCACTTGCTAAATCCGCACATTCCTGAAGGCACAAAAACACAGTGGAGCAGCGGCCCAGGCCAGCTGGCTCTCTGGCGGGCATTTCACTGTCACTGCCCTTGGGCTGGAGTTGCCAGAAAGCAAGTTCCCTTCTGGGCAGGAAAAGCAGTGTTTCAAGGGACTCTGCCAGGAGCCTCAGAGGCAGGAAATCAGCAGCAATATTTATCAATCCATCCCATCTCACCCTCTTCAGAAGGAATCCAGCCAAGATCATTCTTCATATAGGGTGGAAGATCATGTAAATATTTACTTTAGTTGGGTTTATTAAAAAGAAAGAAAATTTTAAAACCAAGACAAGAAATAATTCAGCTTTAGACTGACTCCAAGTCTGATCTATACCGAGTGATTTGCCTCAACCGTTTTTCATGGGTAGCTTCAAAATTTGGAATAGTAGTATTGGTTTCTTCAGATTTTTGCATATTATGGAAAAAATGGATTTCTATAAACCAGATAAAGAAATCAATCCCGTTACTTTCTAAGTGAGCCCTGAACTTTGGAAAGCACACCCTGCAAAAAATCTCCTACTTTGAATGCAAAACTCTATGCAAAGCACACTCTTCCCCTATGCAAGACTCAGGAGGCACTCAGCAAATGTAATGTGAGTTAAATGCAACCAAACAGAATTCTCTATTGTGCCCAACAGAGCCCAAAACTTTGACCCTGTGTAAAAGGCAGGGCGCAGACGCTGCTCTGCAGTGAGTGGCTAAGACTCCAGCTCCAAGGTCAAGAGCAGGTTTGTTCCCTGCCGTGCTCCCCTCTCTTCTCTACCCCTCCTGCTGCCCTCCCTTATCAATCCTTTCCACACTCACTTCCATTTCTCTCGCACCTCTTTTGCCCCTTCCCTCTCTGTGACCTTATCTTCCTATTCTAGTCTCAAAGCGGCAACCAGTCAGTTTTCCCAAAGTCAACAACTAGAATCAATTTTATCCAGCACTTTCCTTCTCTTTCCTTCCCTCCTAACCCATCCCCAACCCAGCAGGGACAGGAGGCCGCATCCTGGTCTAGAACTTGTCTTCTTTTAGTCATCTGCAAACTCACTCCATCTACTTCAAGACATGGGCATCTAAAAGTATTCAAGCCCAGCTGGGCGTGGCTCAGCGGTTGAGCATCGACCTGGGATCCAGGAGATCGGTGTTCGATTCCCGGTCAGGGCACATGCCCCGGTTGTGGGCTCCATCCCCAGTCGGGGGCATGCAGGAGGCAGCCCATCAATGACTTTCTCATCATTGATGTTTCTCTCTCTCTCTCTCTCTCCCTTCCTCTCTCTGAAATCAATAAAGATATATTAAAAAAAAAAAAAAAAAGGTCAAATTGAAAGTAAAAGCACAGGCCTACTTACACTGGGACTAACAAGGGTATAGGTCAACCACGGTTTTCAGCCTCTTCAACACATGTGACCAATGGCACACTCTCTTGGGTGTACCCAGAGTTTAACAACCCCCTCAAAATATTTAGGGAAGCCTTAAAATAATTAATTATCCCCCATGCTAACTGCTGAATCAGCAAAGGAGGGGCCCAGGCCACAGCCAACATGAGAAAGGCCACACTCACATACAATTCCTGCATTCCACCCCTTTCTGCCCCTTCAGAAATCATACTGGAATTCTTTAGAAGTATTATGGAGATTACAACAAATTTATTCTGAATTGTTTTAAAAAAGAAATCTTTCACAAATAGCAACAGTTTAAATATTGATAATACTGCAAATTACTTGAAATAAGCCTTATGAGTAAGATGCCCTGATATGGAAAAATGGCCTCACAGAAAGAATTTGGGGATAAAAATGTTCAAATCATGGTAGAAAAAAAAAAACCTCATATATTCCGTGAGAGTCAGCTTGGCGCTTTTTCAGGGAGGGACCCTGTCTCATCCGTTAGGGCATTTTCCACATTGCCTACATATGTCTAACACAAGTGTGCAGCTCAAAACATTTTTGATTCAATGATTTTAAATGGTTATTCAGTTTTCCACAAAGTAAATCTCTACACTGTCCTCCCCAGTTCAAAGAATCATTGGATTTTAGAGTTAGGCAGAAATTGGAGGTATTCTGTTCAATTAACCACAGCAACAAACATTTATCAAGACTAAATGCTCATGGTACGCTAAGAGCTATATGTGCAAGATCTCATTTAATCGTCACAATCCCATCAGGCAGTAAAGCCATCCTGTTGTAGAAGAGGAAAGGAAAGCTCAGAGAGGTTAAGCTACTTGCCTGAAGTCACCCGTCCAGTTAGGCTGACCTGGACTGTGACTGGGTCTGTCTGATCCCAAAGCCCATGTTCAATACCATCCATCACCCCAGAGGTCCCAAGAGATCTGATGACTGTGTCGGTGTCCTAATTGCCTCTTACAAGTACTTCCCACCCCCCC